TACCAGAAGGAAACTCAAAGACAACAGGGATCTTGTCTGTTTTGTTCATTGCTATATCCCCAGGGACTAGAAAATGCCTGGCACAAAGGAGCTAGATAAATATGTATTGAATGATACATTTATCAGTGGGTTCAGACATATGGGCATGGTTGTGGGGGAAGGGAACACGATGAACCAAATATGGTTGTTATTTTCCATACCGTCCAGTTAAGTTATAAGAACAGATATAGAAACATATTTCTATACACAATTGGACTGTAAAGAAGGAATAGACATTGAATTAGACAGAATACATACATTCAATTTACATAAGCTAGGGGAGCCTGAGTGGCTCAGATGGTTAAGCATCTGCCTTTGGCTCAGGTCATGATCTCCAGGTCCTGGGATCGAGTCCTGCATCGGGCTCCCTGCTCAGTAGGAAGCCTGCTTCTCCCTCTCCCATTTCCCCTGCTTGTGGTCTCTCTGTCTCTCTCCCTCTCAAATGAATAAATAAAATCTTTAAATAAATAAATAAATAAATTTACATAAGCTAATTAGCTATCACAGGCTAAGTGTGAAATGATGACATAGATAGTGAGTTGTAGATATATATCTGAAGAGAAATAAGTATAGTGAACTGAGATTGTCCAGGTTTATCAAAAGAGGCATGGTCTTGAGGGGAGGATTGAATTAGCATGAAAGAAGAGATTTAGGATCAATGGAATAAGGACTGGCAATGGAAAATGATATATTTAGTGAGGAAATGAGCAGACCATTTATGAAGGAAGTTCTGGACAGTAAGGTTGAGAAAATGAGCCAGACCCAGACTCAGAGCTCAGCCACCAATTGTGTGACACTGAGCAAGAATGGTATCTAACCTCCTTATTTATACATTGGTAATAATAGCTACATTTTGCTTCTTCACAAGGTTTCATGGGGGATCAAATGAGTCAAAATGATTCTGAATAGGTATGCAGACATAAGCATTAAGAAATAGTATGATACAAGTTTATGGTTTAAATGAGGAAAAAATGTTGGAAGGCAATATATCCAAATTCACTGCACTTGCATTAAAATGATATGGCTATGAGTGATCTTTCTTCCTCTAAATTTCTCTATATTCCAAATTATCATTGAAGAGCATATATTAATTAAATTCATTTCATTCAACAAATGAACTATACTAGGTGTTGAGAAAATAAGAATGAATAAATGAAATAAAATTTGAGCTTACAAGGAGTTTAGGTCTTACTAGGCAGAGACAGACACAAAATAATGCAGATACATAAGATAATTTCAGGTAATTGGTGCTGTGATAATGGTATATTGATGGAGTAGAATGTTGCTGCTAGATAGAGGAGTCAGGGGAAGTCTCTACAAGGAGAGCAGAGACCTAAATAATGAATAGATGCCAAGACACAGATGCTGAGCTGGGAAGAAAATGTTGTAAGCAGTGGGTCAAGCAGCTGCAAAGGCCATAAGCAGAATGAGCTGCTTGTGCTCAAAGAGCAGAAGGAAAGCCAGTGTGGCTGAGACATAGTGAGGAAGGAGGGTGGCGAAAGTGAAGTCACCAGATACACAAGGTCACATCATGAATGACCTTTGAAACCATGGTAAGAAAATTGGATTTTATTCTCAGTGTACTGATAAGACATTGGGATATTTCTATGACAAAGGAGGCAAGAACATAAAATAGGAAAAAGACAGCCTCTTCAACAAAGAATGTTGGAAAAACTGAACAGCTACTTGCACAAGAAGGAAACTGGACCATTTTCTTACACCATACACAAAAATAAACTCAAAATGGTTGAAAGACCTAAATGTGAGACCTGAAAAAATAAAATTCCTAGAAGAAAACATAGGCAGCAATTTGTTTGACATCACTGTAGAAACATTTTTCCAGATACGTCTCCCCGGGAAAGGAAATAAAAGCAAAATTAAACTATTGGGACTATACCAAAATAAAATGCTTCTGCACAGTGAAAGAAACCATCAAGAAAACAAAAAGACAATCCACTGAATACGAGAAGATATTTGCAAGTGATATACCCAATAAGGGTGTGTGTGTGTGTGTGTGTGTGTGTGTGTGTGTGTGTAAAGAACTTGTAAAACTCCACACCAAAAAAAAAAAAAAATCCAATTAAAAATGGGCAGAAGACATGTGCAGACATTTCTCCAAAGATGACATACAGATGGCCAACAAACACATGAAAAGATGCTCAACATCACTCATCATCAGGGAAATGCAAATCAAAACTACAATGAGGTACTAGTTCACACCTGTCAGAATGACTAAAATCAAAAACACAAGAAACAACAAGGGTTGGCAAAGATGTGGAGTGAAAGGAATCCTCATGCACTGTTGTGGGAATGTAATTCTGTGCAGCCACTGTGGAAAACAGTATGGAGCTTCCTCAAAAAATTAAAAATAGAGTTACCATTGATCCAGTAATTCCACTACTGGTATTTACCCAAAGAATACAAAAACACAAATTAGAAAAGATACATGTATCCCAATGTTTATTGCAGCATTATTTACAATAGCCAAGATATGGAAGCAACCCAAGTGTCCATCAATAGATGAATGGATAAAGAAGATGTGGTATGTGTGTATGTATATTTATATATACATATATACATGTACATGTATATATATACACACATTTTTATACACACACATATATATAAATACTACTATGGAATATTAGTTGGACATAAAAAAAGAATGAAATCTTGCCATTTGCAACAACATGGATGGACCTAGAGGATATAATGCTAAGTGAAATAAATCAGTCTAAGAAAGACAAATATCGTATGATTTTGTTCATATGTGGAATTTAAGTAACAAAACAAATGAACAAAGAAAAAAAGAGACAAACAGAAAAGCGGACTCTTAAACACAGAGAACAAACTGGTAGTTGCCAAAGGGGAGGTAGGCAAAGTGGACTAGGGGATGGGTGAAATAGATACAAAGGACTAAGAGCACACTTACGGAGATCAGCACTGAATAATGTATAGAACTGTTGAATTATATTGTATGCCTGAAACTATTATAATACTGTATGTTAATTATACTTAAGAAAAAAAATAATAAATAAAAGATACTGGGATATTTTTAGCAGAGAAATGAAGTGATCTGATTTATATTTTTGAATAATATTTTATATATGTATATATATACATGTATATATGTGTATATACACATACATATATTTATATATTTATATATTAATATATAAAGTATATATTTATATATAACACATATAAATTGAAATTTAACTGCTAGATGATAAAATGAATTTCAATGTGATTTTGTGTCATTACATGATCTGCTGAGGTCTAATTAATGGTTCTAATTAATTAAAATGATGCCATTACATCATATATGGCCTTTCCAGCATTAGATATTAGAAAAGGAGGAGCATTTGACATCATCTCCCCAAGCTTTTACTAGTATGTTAGATAATTGGTAACATAATTAAATAGCATTTATTGAGTTCTGCATAATGGGGTGAAGTTAAACTGTTGTTTGAAAACACCAGTATTCTGAATGTCAATTCTCATTCCATGATTAATTTGCTACGTTATTTTCTTCTGCATTTTATTTCCTGAAAAATAAGAAGGAAGAATGGTACATGTGAAAAATAGATGTTAAGGAGAAAATTTGCAAATGTAGAGCTATGCAGATTTTATCACAGAGTATTTCAAAATTACTCTTTGTCCTTTTCTTCCTGGGTGACATTTCTAATAAATAATGAGCTGAGCTCTCTTGAATGAAGAGATCTGTGGTAGAATGACTTTGGCACATAGAGAAGCACGTTAACTACCTTAAGTCCCCAAAGCTTTATCACTGACTTCATAATTCCTTTGGTGTACTGCGCAGAATCAGCTCCCAGAAGTACCCAGGCCCCATGGAGGAGCAGGCCCTCTTCCTCCAGCCTTTCCATGCCTGAAACAATAGATTTATGAAATACTCTGTACTTTCATTCCTGCCCAGAAAGTGGGATATTATCTCACGGAAACACATATTAATAGAACTTGGATGTCAGTTTCAAAGAACCCACTTCTGCCTTCAGTGTCTGCAAAAATAAACACTGATGGCAGACAGCATGAAGTGTACCCCCATCTCCACAGATGGCATTTATATCCACACGGCTTGCTTTCTCCAGAATGAAGGTCTGACAGCCATCAACCTTACTCGTTCCCCTATTCCCTTTCCATCACAAATAAGGTTTTTCAAAAAGTCTATCAGGGCCTTATCCTATCAAAGTCTTTGTTGTTTTTGAAAATGATTATCGTTTCTTGAGCACTGAGAAAGAAGCATCAAAAACCAAAACCACTTTTGACAGTTCTCAGTGGAATAAAAGTGATAGGACACCATCCCCTACATTTTCATCCTCAAAAATGATCTCTTCTGAAAGAAAATGATATAATTTTCAAGGAGCTGTGATTTTTCTTCCTCCTTTGAAGAAGCCATGCATTTCCAACAGATATTTCATATAGAATCCATATCAAAATCTTCAGGGGAATTTAGGAGAAAAAGTAAATAGCCTTCAGCTTCTGCCCTTGGGCAGATTGGAGCCTTATTGTGTTAGGAAGGACAAACAGAATTGAAGTTACTTAAGAGTCTCTAGAGGTAATATGTGGTTTTAGAATTAAGCTATTGAATCAGACAGCCCTGTGTTCAAATCCTGCCCTTACCCTTATTCCTTTCCACCTGTGAGACATACTTATCTCCAGGAACCTTAGAAATCTCTGCAAAACAAATATAATATTAATAATCATCTCCTAAGGATGCTGTGAGGTTGAATGAGCTAATGAATCATGCATATAAAGTATTTAGCATGGTACCAGAGCCACAAATAAGTACTTAAAAAGCAGTAGCTATTATTTCTTGGTAAACACTAGTAAGAAGAAGAACTATTATATAAAACAAGTTTTGAAGTGGCCTTTGAGAATTATATTACAAACTTATATTCACAAATTGTAAATATGGACTATGTTTTCATCTTTCTTAATAGGCATTTTAAATTGTTGTATGGCATACAATGTTGGTCTCCTAGAAGCAAAGATATTTTCCGGTCCTTCAAGTGAACAGTTTGGCTATGCAGTGCAGCAGTTTATAAATCCAAAAGGCAACTGGTAAGAATATTCTTTTTATGATTTAAATAAAAATACTAAATAAATTTAATATTTAACTCTAATGGCTTGTTCAAATGGGTACATGAATGTATTATTAATAGATAGCCCTCAAATATCCTTAAATGAAGAATTTGTCCTTGAGAGTTGATAACTTTCAGATTGATAATTAATGAGATGGTGTAATGGTACTTTTTTTTTTTTTAAAGATTTTTTATTTATTTGACAGAGAGAGACAGCGAGAGCAGGAACACAAGCAGGGGGAGTGGGAGAGGGAGAAGCAGGCTTCCCGCTGAGCAGGGAGCCCGATGCGGGACTCGATCCCAGGCCTGGGATCATGACCTGAGCCGAAGGCAGATGCTTAACGACTGAGCCACCCAGGCGCCCTGTAATGGTACTTTTTTTTTTTTAAAGATTTTATTTATTTATTTGAGACAGAGAGAATGAGAGAGAGAGAGCACATGAGAGGGGGGAGGGTCAGAGGGAGAAGCAGGCTCCCCGCTGAGCAGGGAGCCCGATGCGGGACTCGATCCCAGGCCTGGGATCATGACCTGAGCCGAAGGCAGATGCTTAACGACTGAGCCACCCAGGCGCCCTGTAATGGTACTTTTTAAAAACCTATGGGGCGCCTGGGTGGCTCAGTCGTTAAGCGTCTGCCTTCGGCTCAGGTCATGATCCCGGGGTCCTGGGATCGAGTCCCACATCGGGCTCCCTGCTCGGCGGGAAGCCTGCTTCTCCCTCCCCCACTCCCCCTGCTTGTGTTCCCTCTCTCGCTGTGTCTCTCTCTGCAAATAAATAAATAAAATCTTTAAAAAAAAAAAAAAAAAAAAACCTAGATAGAGGGGCGCCTGGATGGCTCAGTCGTTAAGCGTCTGCCTTGGGCTCGGGTCATGATCCCAGTGTCCTGGGATCAAGGCCCGCGTCGGAGCCTGCTTCTCCCTCTCCCACCCCCCGCTGCTTGTGTTCCTGCTCTCGCTATCTCTCTCTCTCTCTCTGTCAAATAAATAAATAAAATCTTTAAAAAAAAAAAACCTAGGTAGAAAACTTTTCCTAAATATTCCATAGTAAATTCATAGTAGCAGTTTTGACCATTTAATTAACAGATGGAAGGAGGGAGGGAGGAAGAAAGGGATAGATAGGTGGGTGGATGGATAGATAGGTAGATAAGTAGATGATAGATAGATAGATGATAGATAGATAGATAGATAGATAGATAGATAGATAGATAGATAGATAGATACAGTTGTCTTCATTTCTTATTCTGTAAACTGGTATCCACCATTGAGCTTTGTAAATGGTCAGCTAGCTGATGCTGCCTCTTGGCCATTTCTAGATTTCTAGACTTTTTCCCTAAATTTTTTCCTTCAGCAAGGCTTTATCTACTGGCTTCATTCTAAGTCAGCCTTCCCTCCACTGTGTGGCACAGGACCCTCACAAGCCTTTGTGCAAAATTATAAAGTTGCCTTTCTCTAGTGCATCTGCATCATTTGTTTCTGCATGAAAGTGCCCCCAGTTTTTTGATGCTGTGTAATGGTTACATTTAAACACACTACCTTCATGGATATGGAAATATATACTCCCATTGCTGGCTTAAATTTCCCATAAAAATATTGAAAATCAATGCAGGGGTATTCAGATAATTCTGAAAGTTGTCTTTAAGTAGAACTGTAGCTCCTCTCTTGCCAGTGTTGATGTTCACTGGTCACAAGAGTCTTATCACTGGAACCTTAACTCCCTGTTCCAGCAGAAGGTTCCAGACTTACCCCTGGAGCTTCCAATCTGGATCCTTTAGAGTTCTTTCCAACGATTGAATAGGCTATTGTTGGCTTATCAAGTAAGAGCTATAATTAATAATCTTTTTTTCTGTGAGAACTTATGTTTGATGCTCAAAAAATTAAATTCAAAGACACATTTAAAATCCAAATAATTCACATTTTGGAGCATCCCCATCTGTGTGATAAAGAAATGAAATGAAATTATCACTCAAGAGGGTATTGTGTTTCAGAAGGCATCTTGAAGGAGGTGAATCATGAGGTGGGTCTTAAGGGGAGGAGATGAATAGTCAGGAGAAAAGCATTAACTAATATGAGGAGACTTGGAAAGTAAGATACACAGCAGTTTGTCAGTCATCCGGAAGGATAAGAATGATCTGGTTGAAAACCCAAAGTGTAGCAATTATTGACATCATTTGGGATATGAGAGGGCATCTCTAACAATTATATTATTATGCTTTGATAACAATAAACTGTAGTCAAAAGGCTAGAAAGATGTTATGGTTGGTATAGTTTGACCTTGGAATCCAGAAGATGAAGTTGCTGATGACCCACAATTTTTTATGTCCAGCCCCGATTCTTTCCTGAACTGTAGACACCCATAAGAACCATCACTACATGAATGCCTACTAGACATACCAAGCTTAACACAGCAAACTTAAACAAATACCTGATTTTTTGCACCAACTGATGAGACCAAAAATCCTCGACTCTCTTTTCCTGTCATGCCCCCCCATATCTCATCCATTAGCCAGTCCTGTTGACGCCACCACCAAAATACATGTGATAACAGACCATTGGTTTCCCCCAACTTCCCTGCAGCCCCTGCTCAAAGCCAATGAGCCCTTGTGGGTACTGCAGCAACCACTTCTCACCCCGCCCCCTGCTTCCCTTCTTACCCCAGGGCAGCCTTGTGGACTATTAAATACGTGATTCAAACAATGTTACTGCCTAGACTAAAACCCTCTGTGGCTTCCTACTGCAATTAGAATACATTAAAATTCCTTAAAGGATCTTCCATGATCTGGTCTCAGTCTGCCTGTCCCATCTCATAATTCATCCCCTCACCCTTGTGCTCCATGAATTGTGTCTTCTATCTGTCCCTTGAACATACTAAGCTCATTACTACATCAAAGCTTCTGCACATGCCTTTCTCCTGGAAGGAGCAGCCTTCCCAGGATCTTCACTTGGCTGCTCAGTTCCCATTTTTCAGTCTCAGCTCAAATGTGTCCTCCTCATAGAAAGCTTTCAGAGCGTGTCTTCCTAAACAAGGACTGCAGCACACCTCCCAGCCACTCTCCTGCCTTCCATGCTGATTTATTTTCTGGGTAGTAGTTATTAGTATCTGAAATCACCTTTATTTGTTTATATGCTCGTTGTCTGTCTTCTGCCCTGTCTCTGAAGAGAGGCACATTGTTTGTTTCAATGGCATGTAGTCAGAACCCAGAATGTTATGAGTTGATTGACTGAATGAAAGTCCTATTTCCAAATGATTCACCTGAGGTACTCTACAAAGTGAACTATAGTCGTTTGACTTAAGTATGAGCCGAACAAGACCTTTGGAGGGACTCTGATGGTCTGCTTCGTAAGTGTGGCCTTGCTGAGGATGATCTGCCATCAAGCTTGCAGTTGTTCTTTTTATTTATTTATTTATTTATTTAAATTTATTTTATTATGTTATGTTAATCACCATACATCATTAGTTTTTGATGTAGTGTTCCATGATTCATTGTTTGTGTATAAAACCCAGTGCTCCAATCAATACGTGCCCTCTTTAATACCCATCACCAGGCTAACCCATCCCCCAACCCCCCTCCCCTCTAGAACCCTCAGTTTGTTTCTCAGAGTCCATAGTCTCTCATGGTTCATCTCCCCCTCCAATTCCCCCCCTTCATTTTTCCCTTCCTACTATCTTCTTTTTTTTTTTTTTTTTAACATATAATGTATTATTTGTTTCAGAGGTACAGGTCTGTGATTCAACAGTCTTACACAATTGTTCTTTTTAAGTGACAAGGTAAAGGTTGCTCTTTCCGGGACAAGGTCAATATGGGAGAAAGAGCCACCATCAGTAGGAGATGCTATTAGAGATGATAAGCCTACCAAGGATCGGAAGGTAACTCAACTACTGGCCACATTGCAGGTTGGAAGTTGAGCAAGACCAACAGGGACAAAATGTTGACAGGAATCTAGGAGGCAGAGTCCCAGGAAAGTGAGAGATAGCCATACATCCTTTCTCTCTCCATGATTCTCTCTGAGCATGCAAAACGTTGTTAAAAGATGAGTGTATTAGCCACTTATGATGAGATTCTGGTGCTGATCAGGTTATGTCCAGACCAAGGACAGTAGACATTCCTAAGTCCTACTGTAGCCTTCTCATGACATTCCTGAAAGATGTATAAACACAAGACAATGACTACAGGGGAACAAGGCATCGCTCTATTGTTGGTTGGACTAGTGCTTTTAACCCCAGTGTAGAGCTTTCTGGTAAGGTGTAATGTTAGTCTTACTACCCTCAAGCCTGTCTATAACACCAGCTGGTAAGAGCATACCCCAGCATACAAGAAGAGGAGAAGGGAGAGTACCTGTCTTACCTGAGAGGCTAAATCCTGTGGCAGTCAAAAGCTGGAAGGAAAGAGAACCAAAGCTGGCCTGGCATGCCAGTCTGCCCTTTCACTGTGCTGGCCTTGTTACAGCAAAGAAGCAGAAGAGGCCACGTCATGGACAGCATCTGCTAATCCACTACAGGCTGGACCCTGTGTGAGGTGCAAAGTAGAAAACATCAGCCTTACCTTTGAAGGAGTGTGGAGTAGAGTCAAAGCGGAAGACTGATATGCAGAGCTGGCAGAGATGTAATAAAGGCCAGCCCCATGTGGTTAATTGTATGGGTGACCTTTCAGTGTCGTAACTGTATTATCTTACTATTAAGAGCTCATTCTCTCCTCCCAAAGTGTGGGACACTCGAGGGACACCCTGGTCCTTCTCTCATTAGCCTGGCCCTGCCAAGGTGCCTTGCCACGGAGGACAGGGCTGTGGCAGGATCCAGCGGATGGCGTGTCCCCCTGTGAGGACAGGCGGCCCTCACAACTCTCAGGCTCAAGGAAAATAATATGAAACTTGGAATCCAGAATTGCCTATTTGTTTTGACGATTGGCACTGTGCCCTTCTCCACTCCTAATTTATGACAACTGCACAGACATTATGGAAGTAGCAGATGTGGGAAGGACTGTTTAA